CGGCGAAGGCCTCCTTCGAGAGGGGAGCTGGGGACGAGCGCTCGGATTCCGCTCTGAGGCCGAAATGATGGTGGGGGTCCCCCGAGGGGCTGCTTCACCGAACCGAGGCTTACCCAGCCCGGGTCTCTCCGCTTCCGCGAACCCGGAACACGGGGTGGACCGGGCGGGTCAAGTCCTACCAACGCGCCGGCAGAAATGACGCTTGGCTGGTAGCTGTTCTCTGGGTCGTCTGAACGCGGCCAACTACGTGTCTCCTTGGAACGTGGGGCAGTTGAGCCCCAGTCATCAGCTACGGCCCAGGGTATCCTGTAAAGCCACGATTCAATTGATCAGTGTAAGCCAGTTTCCTTGAGTTGGTGTGTTATGTGAACACCACCCCCAGCACCTGAAAAAAGAATGGGGATCAACTCTAGGAAGCATCAAAACTATTCAGGTATCTGGGTCTTAGGGGCTTGTTCACGTTAAAACGTGTCCAAAGGCTTGCCACTGTAGTGTTTCAATGTGAGATGTGCCTATTTACGATAATAGTCCTTCTTTCTCAGCAAAAAAATGCTCAAGGTCAAAGTAGGCCTTTCAGAATTAAGCCCTTTTGAGCCCAATAGCACTTCTGAACAAATATGCAGAGTATTTTAAAAAACATGATTTTTACATTGGCAAGTGTGCAGCTCTATAGGTGATTTTAATATGGTCCAAAGCATGCAAGGATTTTTGGGGTGGGTGTTTTCAAATCAGCCTTGATTTTACAGCCATTAAACTGGCATGTTTCAGGAAAGGAAAAACATAAACATCATGTTAATTAATATGGAGGCACACCTGCCAAAAACCAATTTTGTGGACTTTCATTTTTTGTTTCTAATAAACAATAACAAAACACTGGATTTATCTACAGTATGCAAGATCAGAATGACTTGGGAAAAGCTCAGCCATCTAGGAAATTGGTAAGCGGGCCTCAAGTTGGCAATAAATCAAGTAAATACCCAGTTCTCCCAAATCAAAAAGGGAAATTTCCTAGGAATACACATCTTTTGCATTTGTAAAGTGCTAACTCTTTATTGTGAAGTAATTGGGAGTCAGAACTTTAAAATGATACTTCTCTGTCCAAACAGCCAACTGTATCTCTTTTCATGGTGGTCAGCAGATATAAGAAACGATCACATCCTTTGTTGCTTCCTTCAGTATTATTATATTGAGCTATACTAATAGAAAGCAGAAGTCACCTGCTGGCCAGGTTCACATACCATGATATGGCTTGGTTCTGGTGCAGGATTAATACAACCCTAATAGCTTATAAACATGGTTTAAGGGTATTGTGAACTTAGCTAATTGTGGAGATTTCTGTAAACCATGATCAATCAAACAATGAATTGGCATGATATAGGAGACATTCATGAATTGTATGAGCATTTCAACCTTTTGATGTCAGCTCAGTT